AACCCAGCAAAACCAAGTCTTGGTTTGGAGACTTCCCCCTGCACCAGACAGCAAAGCCCAGCAAAACCAACTCTTGGTTTAGAGGCTTCCCCCTGGGCGAGACAGCAAAACCCAGCAAAACCAAGTCTTGGTTTGGAGGCTTCCCCCTGCACCAGATAGCAAAACCAAGTCTTGGTTCGGAGGCTTCCCCCTCACCAGACAGCAAAACCCAGCAAAACCAAGTCTTGGTTTGGAGGCTTCCCCCTGCACCAGACAGCAAAACCTAGCAAAACCAAGTCTTGGTTTGGAGGCTTCCCCCTGCACCAGACAGCAAAACCCAGCAAAACCAAGTCTTGGTTTGGAGGCTTCCCCCTGCACCAGACAGCAAAACCCAGCAAAACCAAGTCTTGGTTTGGAGGCTTCCCCCTGCACCAGACAGCAAAGCCCAGCAAAACCAAGTCTTGGTTTGGAGGCCCCCTGCACCAGACAGCAAAACCCAGCAAAACCAAGTCTTGGTTTGGAGGCTTCCCCCTGCACCTGACAGCAAAGCCCAGCAAAACCAAGTCTTGGTTTGGAGGCCTCCCCCTGCACCAGACAGCAAAACCCAGCAAAACCAAGTCTTGGTTTGGAGGCTTCCCCCTGCACGAGGCAGCAAAACCCAGCAAAACCAAGTCTTGGTTTGGAGGCTTCCCCCTGCACCAGACAGCAAAACCCAGCAAAAGTGGTAGCTTAGCGCTGCGTGCGTAGTGTTTCACCTCCGTAGGCTCTCGGCTCAAGGGTGACAATGAGAGTCGCCCTGCTGTTGATCGGCGCGCTGGTGCGCCCGCTCGGGGGGCTATGGCCTTTCGCAGTGGGTAGCGAAAACCAAACGTGCGACAAAGAAGGAGTAGGTTCGTGCCCTACAGAAGGGCACGAGCCTTTCAGTACCCGTGGATCGGAACCGAGCCCGGGAGCATCGTACTGGTGGTTCGATTGGTCCTGGGAAGGTTCCACCGAACCAAAAGCCAGCACGCCCCAAGCTGAAGATGCCCATTCTCGACGCTGGTACTTCCGGATTTTGGCCGGAGTACTGTGGGAGATATGGGAAGGGGGGCTGACCTGGTGCGGCACCCTCTGTGCCTCCATTGGGCTCGCTGCAAGGTGGATCCGCGGTGAGAGCCCCTGCAGATGCAAGATGAGCCTCCTATATCACTGGTAAGGGGTGCCTTCAAAGACGCCGGCAGACCCTCTGGACGACATGGATAGTCCGAGCAGCCACTCCCAGTCCGCTTTGCCGGCAGACCCTCTACGGCAAGTGCCTCTGGACGACATGGAGAGTCCGACCGGCCAACCCCAGTCCGCCTTGCCTCCATCGGAGATGATGTCGTGGCCTCAGATGCATTGTCGCGCCACAGCAATTTAGTTCTGTCCTCATGTAAGCTGTCGTCGTCGTGCATTTCGTTGCCATACTGAGGCCCAGGCGATCATATATGCGAGACTATACTGCAAGGGCAAAGAAATTGCAGCAAGCAGAGCGAGGACAGCCGACCTCCAAGAAACTGGTGGCAGTGGTGACGCGCTGGGGCACGTCAAGCACCCTAAAGAATTTCGCTCAGCCTTCCGATCCGCTATGGCAGGTGATGGTGGATCATCACGACGGCCCGGGTGGCCTAGGCTCTTTTCAGTCTCGTCTTCTGGAGACGCTGCAGCAGGCACTGCAGTCCACCACCCAAATCCCCAAGCCCGCGATCTTCGAGGCCTGCGACGACGTGGCAAAGTGATTGTTCTGAATGGCGCACCCTATCAAGGTACCATGGTCGAACACCATTTTCCATGGGTCCCGACTATGTACGTCGCAGGGAAGACGCCCTACGCAGCCTTCGAAGTGATTCGCCTTGTGATGGAAGAGAAAGTGCGACAAAGCCTGCTAACACAGGTACCTCCAGAACTTCACGTTTCTTGGCAACTCGGCAAGCCACCAGCAGAGGCCCCGCCGTCTCCGTGGAAACCAGTGGATGGCCACCGTCTTTTGTGGAGCCAATTTCAAGTGCAGCCTCCGGAAGCCCCTCGAATCCGCGAGCACCTGAGCGGGTACCTACAGCAGACATCAGAGAAGCCGCTGAAGTTTCTGTCTGGCCCGCATCGTGCACAATTTGGGCGCGGGCGATAGCAGCATACATCGTGTGCGCAGCCTTCTGCACAACGTGCTTGGCGGCCGACCTATCCAACTCAGAGAATCAAACCATCCAATTTGTGCTTTCACCACCTGGCTGCGAGTGCAGCCAAACGATTTTTTTCATCTAAGTGATCTTCCTGGGTCGATTGACGTGCCCTTCGGCAAGAGCGGCAGACCAGAGACCGCAGGAGCCACTGCGCACAGCGGCCCGCGAAAGAGTACAGTGCGCGGCCAGAAACTGCTGTCAGACTTGTAATAGCGCAACAGATTCTTCGAAAAATGACAGCTTGCTCGGCTTGCTGTAATATCCAGCTTGAAGGTTGAAGCAATGCCAAAGCACCAGTGCCGGCCAGCAGGTTTTGGCTCACGATAAGTTCTAGACCATGACAAGACTTCAAAAATAACTTCGAAAATCTTGCCGATCGATAGAGCTTGAGCAGCAGAAACGTCTTAGCTTTCCGATGCATCGCGATAGCATCGTCTTGCATGTAGACTTGACCAATGCTTCCATCACCGACCTCCGCGGGGGCCTTCGACAAAGCAGCGCCATCATGAGCTGGCTTGTGGTCTCGCTCCGCCCAGGTTCCGGATTCAACGAAATCGACAAGCTCGCTTGCACCGAATCTAGCTTCGGCGGCTGTCCGCCAAGCCGTTCTCCAGTGCGTTTGCTAGAACAAGAGAAAGCAATACAGAGTAGTGGTAGGTGAAGGCTTGGGTAGTGGCTTGGAAAAAGCAAAAACAAGCGATTTGGTGGATTGGACGGGGTTCTTGAAATGAAGAAGCAAAACAATTTTGGGCTTGGAAAGGGGGTCTGGAAAAGGCCGAAAATCCAAAGTGGAGGCTTGGAGAAGGGGGTTTAAGGTTTAGAAGAACGCCCAACAAATTTGGGCTTGGAAACGGGCTTGGAGCGGCAAAAGGATTGAATTTCACGCCGGGTTGGGACGCCGCAAACTTCAAAAAACAAAAACAGATTCAGGCCACAACCACCTTTCAAAAGTTGGGCTCGGAATGGAAAAAGCAAAAAACTTCAATAGACAAGGGAGGAGTCTCGGTGCCGGGAGAGTCTCGGTGCTGGGAGGAGTCTCGGTGCCAGGGAAAGGTTCGCGAGAGGGGACCCGGCCACGCCAGAAAAGTTTGAAAAGTTTCCCGACCAAGTTTAGGGTTTAAGAAGCAGCCCCCTTAAAAGCAGCTGATGCAGTGGCTAGCTTCGCGTGAGATGCTTGGGGCGCCTGTTAGCGCAGTCCAAAAACTGCGCTGGCGAATCGGGTGAGATGCTCGCACTCGGACCCCTCCGCCTCCGAGCCCCAACCCACCTCGCACCCCTGAAACTTCGCGAGTGGGGACCCGGCCGCGCCAGAAAAGTTCAAAGGTTTCGAACCCCAACCCGGAAAAAGTGCCGGAAAACAGACACGGGAGAACTCTCGCACCGAGACTCGTTTTGCTCTTCCCGGAAGAGCAAAGGGAATCTCGGTGCGTTTACGGTTTAGGGACCAGCCCTATAACTTACAGCTGATGCGGTGGCTAGCTTCGCGTGAGATGCTTGGGGCGCCTGTTAGCGCAGTCCAAAAACTGCGCTGGCGAACCCTAAACCCTAAACCCTAAACCCTAAACCCTAAATCCTAAACCCTAAACCCTAAAGCCTAAACCCTAAGGAGTTCCTTGAATCTCTTGAGCAAAACGGCTGCGTTTGCATCTTTGTGCATAATCGCTGCTGTAAACATGAACAACAGTATGCAAACTACACTTGCTCTTCCCGGTCCTGGTTCACCTTCTTCACCGAATCTTTTTGCTTCAGTCAACGATAACAACACTGAGGTCGTAACTGTCTGGATAAGAAATAGTGCCCGAAATAGTGCCCGAAATAGTGCCCAAATGAACCCTTCATAGTGCCCAAATACATTTCCTTTCGTAAAGGAAGGAAAATCTCCTTTTTCTACGCGAAAAATCATTTGGGCACTATGAAGGGTTCATTCGGTCACTAGTTCGGGCACTATTTCGGGCACTATTCGGGCACTATTCGGGCACTATTTGAAGGCGTCTACTATTCATGCACCGCAGCTTTGCCAAGTCCCTCCCAACACTTCTCCAGGCCTGAAAACCTCCGTCCAGGGCTTCCCTACCCTGCCACACTTTCGACGAGCTTTACGAGCCCATTTTCGGGGCCCGGAAAACAACAAAAAACGTAGGACACATCAGAGTACCCCCATAGTTACAGTGGCAAACAACGGTGCTTAAGCAGCACAAGCCCAATCACCAGTGTAGCAACGGAGCGTTTTGATTGATTTCAACAGACGCGGTCGCTCGCGACACTGGTCGCCGCATGTCGGGCAAAACTTTGGTAAAGCTTCAAACACGTTTCCCGCGTAGAATTCCGCAGTTTTTGAGCTCGGGTTGGTCCCCATTTTGAGGCCAAAAATTGGTTCCCAAAGCTGAGACCGCCTGATTGGAAACTATTAGGGGAGACCCCATTTTGGGCTTGGTTTTTGGAACTCGAAAATGGAGCGGGGGGGAGGTTTCTGAATATGCAAACAAGAAGACTGTCAATGACTGACTGCCGTGCAGTCGATAAAGCCACCATCGCAGCTTGCCTGCGTACGGTATTATTTTCACGTGGAAAGTTTGATTTTGAAATCTTATTTCAAAATCAACGCTTGAGTTTTCAAACGTCTCTTGATGTCAGTCTGCAACTGTTGAGCCATGCGAAGATGCGAAATTCCAGTTGCCGTTGTGCTCTGAGGTAGAGCGCAATTTTTGTTTTCTGGGCCGCTAGAGGTTCCTAGTTCTTTTTAGCAGGCTCCGTGTCCCCTGTAACCCGAGTTTTCGCCCTTAGGGCGTGTGCACGCTGGTAGCCGCGGGCTGCCAGCAGATGGACATCGACTCCTCAGATTACGAGGAGTCTGAGGCCAGTAGCCTCTCTTTGGTTAGCCGGCACGTTAACCGCTTGCAGCTCGATCTCAACACCTTGAGAGCGCACGTTGCTGCGTGCGAGCGACGCATCAGGGCCCTGGAGCAGCAGGCTCCCCCTCCGACGCCTGCGCCGGTGCAGTTTAGCTTTCTTGGCTCTTTCTTTCAGTGCTGTCTTGGTCGCCAGCTGCAATGAGCGGGCATTCTGCTGATGGGGATTCTCAGGCTTCCAGCAGTTTTCAGGTTGTGTCCGCCTCTGCTGCTGCTTCCGGTAGCGCAGGGGGTGTGGCGGTAGCAGCCTCAGAGGCAGACTTGTCAAACCGTCAAGAGTGCATGGATGTGACGGCAGCAGCTTCAGAACCAGACTTGTCAAAGCTTCAAGAGACCATTCGCGAAGCAATCTTCTCATGCAGTGAGCCGCAGGTTCTTCAGTTGCCTTGGGAAATGCCGGGTTTGAATTTGATTTTTGGCAAGGGTGCTTTAGATCAGCTTCTGCCTGCTGAGCCTCCCAAAATAGTGTTCCCAGTCCCTACAGCGGCAGATGCTCCGATTGAGGAACAGGCCAAGGCTGCAAAGAGGGTTAAGACGGCCGCTTTTGGGCAGCCTTGCTTCCGTGGGTGTGTGAACTTCAAGAACGTTCTTTCGGATGCTGAGCTTGAAGCTGGAGCCTGGCAGAGATCTCTTGAGAAGTGGCATTTTCTTTTGACCTTAGATCCTTCGGTTTCGCTTGTGGGTTCTTCCTTGGCCGGCATGGGAACTGCTGATGGCATGCAGTCCCTACGCGAACTGTTTGGCAGGAAGAAGGTAGCCACTGTGAGTAAGCGTGCAGCATCATTGCTTAAGTACGTAAAGTTCATGCAGGAGTGTCGGCCCTTTTCAGGCCCCTTTCCTTTTTCCACCGAAAAACGTGATGAGTATGTCAGGCACTTGAGGGCTTGTGAGGCCAAAGTCGGCGCTGTTGACGGGTTCACTGAATCGGTGAGATTCGCGATCCACGTTGTGGGAGTCAGTTGCCGCGGGCCTTCCGACAAAATTTTTAGCCCTTGGTCGATTGGTCTTAAAGGCCTCATGCAGTCGCAGAAGGCAGAGCGTGTGAGTGCACTTGTTTTGTCTGTGGAGCAAGTCTCTTTCCTCGAGGCGTGCTTGGGCAACACAGAGCTTGATGCCAAGGACCGTTATGCCTGTGGCGCTTTCTTGTTTTGCATCTACAGCAGAAGCCGAGTCGGTGATGTGAAGAAGATCCACAGGTGTGTAGTGGATACTGTGGACGCAGCTGGGGAAATTCAGGGTTTTCTTGAATGTGGTACTCGGGTGCACAAGTCCGCAAGGCAAGCAGCCGTGCAAGGAGTATCTATGCCTTTAGTAGCTCCTGTCTGGGGTGTTGGACCAGAGCCTTGGGGACCCAAGTTCGTGGCAATCGCTGCTGAAGTCGGTTTAGCGTTCGACTCAGCTCGCGCGGGGCCTCTTCTTCCCGCACCGCTGGAGTCAGGCGAGTGGAGCCAGAGAGCAGTGACCACAGATGAGGCTGGGCAGTGGCTGCGTGCGTTACTCAGCCGATGCAACAAATGCTCCGATGGTGTGTCAGGGCATTCGCTTAAGGCTACCACTCTTGATTGGTGCGGCAAATTTGGAGTCAGCGAGCAAGCTCAAACCCTCCTTGGTCACCATGCCCTCAAGGGTTTGTCTATGTATGCTTATATGCGTGACAAGCTTGCGGCACCGCTGAGAGCTTATGACGGAATGCTCCGAAGCATTCGGCATGGCCTTTTCATTCCAGATGCAACTAGATCCGGGTTATTCAAAGCTGAAAGTGAGGCTCATGCTATGGAGCCCAGCCACGAGCCCAGCCTCAGCACGGCCCCTCCTCACGTGCGTGATGGTGGGGTTTTCGGAGACGAGACTCCTGTTGGGTCTGAAGGCGAGGCTCAGCACTACAGCAAGGCCGCATGGACGCCTGAACGAGAAGCTCAGTCTTTCCTTGATAACCAATTCACCGGTGAAGCTGAGGACGAAGCTGATGGAGTTGAGAGTCGGGCCCCCGAGCCCGCGCCAAGTTCTTCGTCTTCGTCATCGTCGAGCGACTCGGACAGTTCTGATGGGGAGCCCGGGACTGACTGGATCGATGCCTTCGATTCTGGGCTCGGGAATTCCCTTGAGAAGTCTAACCTCTCTGCGCCTGACATGGAATTTTGGAGACATGATAAAACTATGACCATCCACTCCATTGCGGTTGGTGCTTCTGGAGATGTGTTCACTTGTGGCCGTAAGAGAACAGGTGATTACTCAAAGGTGACGCAAAGCGCTTTTCTGGAGACTCGTCTCTGTGTCAATTGCAAGAAGAGCAAACCTTTGAGGGACATCGGATCTTTGAATGCTGTGTTGAATAAAAGCTTGAAGCGATGATTTCTATGCCACGGCCTGAGTTGCTCCACAAAGAGTGGTTGCCGGGAGGTCCGGCCGACTCCAGGTTGGGTGCGAGGTGCACCCAGCTCAGTCTGTCAAACAGTCGAGCGCCCTTTTGGGCTGCGATGTGCGGCCCAAGGGATTCGTGGCCAGTTCGAGTGAGCCAATCCTGGACTCCGGGAGGTTCGAGGGCTCGAGCTGCGAGGTGCAGTGCGGGCAAAATTTTGCGGAGTGCGAAAGGAGAGCCAAATGGTTGCACGAGACACCTGGGGGCTTGATCGAGTGTTGTGTCGAACTTGCTGTGGCAGCATATGCAGATTTCTGACTTGCGTGTTTTTGCGCTCAAGATTTTTAATGCGAGGTGCAATGGCGGGGTTGCCTGTGGCAACGTCCTTCACGGAATCCAAGCCTGCTTTCGCTAAGAGAGCTTTGGAGGTCGGGCTCGCGCAAGCCGAAGTGGACCATCTTGTCTCCAAACAGGTTGACACTCTCTCGAAGTTAGCTTTTGTCCTGGTTCCTCCTGGGAAGGTTCCTGAGGACAGTGCAGTCGTTGGGCTGCTCCCAGTAGGTTCAAGTCAGGGAGCCATAGCAGGGCTCAAGCGGCTTCTTTTCGAAGCCCATACATTGATTGTGTCAGCCCTCAAACAAAAGGTGGAGCGCACTGAGGAGTCCTTGCCTCTCACTCTTGACATAGCCGAGCGAGAAGATCGTTTGGCAAGCCAGAAAACACGTTTGGGCGGGTTGACATTTCAAGGTGAAGAGGAGGTTGCACATGGTGCATACGACCTTGTCTTCTCGATGGCCCAGAAGAACGAGCTCATTTGGTTGGCGCCTGAGAAGTTCAACACGCGGCGTGCAGAAATCAGTGCCAAGAAGCCTTCTAAAGAGCTCGTCATAGATGGGAGCGGCGTTGCGGTTAAGGATAAGCCCCAGGTCCTCAACTGTGCCATCAACTCTGAACTAGACTTGGTTGGCCATGCGCCGCAGAGCGCTTGCATTCGACCTTGTTGGGCTCATGAGTTTTGATGTGGCTAACCGCTATCATCAGGCACTTGTTCAACGCCTCCAGGAGGCTCCCCCTCCCAACTATGCCAAGGTCTCTATTGCTCAGGTTCTCCGCGCTGATCGAGCGGCATTCCTCCGGCTGGCAGAGTTGCTGCCCACGTTGCGCCGCAGCGGCGTGGGCAAGCTTCCTTTGGACGAGCAGCTTCCCAACATCCTGCTCGACCCTTCAGTCGCTTACCACTTGTTTCCCCTGCCAGCAGGTTCAACCTCCACTGCAAAGTTGGATGACAAGCCCGATCCACCTACCAAGCGTCCGAATCCTCGCCTTCCGAACCCTAAGAAGGCCCCAAAGAGGTATGCTTTCTCGGTCCCAAAAGAGCTTGTTGGCAAAGCGCATCAAACTCCTAAAGGCCACCGTCTGTGCTGGGGTTTCAACTTGCCGTGCGGTTGCAAGGACGCCAAGCCTGGCGGAAAGTGCGCTAAGGGCCTTCACTTGTGTGCAGAGCCGGGATGCCTGAAACCTCATAGCTTGCAGGACCACTCTTGACAGTCATCCGGTCCTTCCTGTCAGGGCTTCGCAGCGTCAGACAGAACTGTTGCAGCGGAGGCTACTCTTCAACGACTTGAAGGGCAGCCTTTGAGCGAGGTCGTGACCGTGGAGGTCTTTTGCGGAACTGGGCGGCTCAGTGCTTCCCTTCGTAGTGAAGGTTTTGATGCCTTCGGTGTTGACCATGTGGTCGGCAAAACTGCATGTTGTTCAGTCCTTCAGCTTGATCTTACTTGTGAGGCTTCTATTGCACATCTTTGGAGCATCTTGAAGGATCCCGCTGTCAAATTCATTCATTTTGCGCCGCCCTGCGGTACCGCAAGCAGGGCCCGTGACATCCAGTTTCCCGGCGCCCCACCTGTCCTCCGCAATGAGAGCCACCCCGAAGGGGTTCCTGATCTTTCGGAGATCCCTGCACTCAGAGTGCAAAAGGCTAACATGCTGTATAAGTTGACTCTTGAGCTAAGTTCTTACTGTCTTCTGAACGGCAAATATTTTTCCTGTGAAAATCCGAGCCGCAGCTACCTTTGGCTGCTTCCACAGTGGCAGCAGTTCTTGAAGCGCTCGGATGTCTTTCAAACTGTCTTTCATCACTGTGAGTTTGGTGGCATGCGTCGCAAAGAGACGCTCCTGGTGCATAACATCCCCAAATTCCGCGAGCTTCATCGTTTGTGCTCTGGCAAACATGTGCATCTGGGCTGGGGCAAGGTCGGCCGTACGTGGGCAACCAGCGCTGAAACGGCCTACCCCTGGGGCCTCTGCAAGTGCATGGCGAGCTTGCTGAAAGATCACTTTTTGGAACTTGGCTGTCGCCCATCTCCCAAAGCTATCGATGAAGGCGCACCCGCCATCCAAGGTGCGCGTGCTTTCACTGGAGCCCAGACTCGCAAGCGCGTGCCTCCGCTGCTTAGCGAATTTGCGTCGGTTCACACTGTCACTGTGCCTTCCAATCTTGCCGCGTCTTTCTTGCGTCCTGGCCAAAAGCTCCCGTCTCCGTGGAAGCCCGGAGATGATGCTGCTTGCTCTCCGGCAATCGAGTGCTTTCCGGCAGGCAGCCGTGTCCTTCGTGCCCATGTGGTGCGCAAGGGGATTGAGGTTGGCCCTAGTCCCACGGCTGTTTCCCCTAGTTCCGGTTTAGTCCCTGCAGCCCCTCGTGTGTTGGGTGCCGAGGGTTTTGAGAAAAGCAATCTGCTGAAGCCTTCTAGCAGAAAGCGTCCTTTTGCTAATGTTCTTGGATGTGCTGAGGCTCCTCTCGGTCTGAATCCTGACGATACCGAGGTTCGAGAAGCCATGATGTCGGGTTCTGCCGAGCGAGTTGCTTCGCTTGTAAACAAGTTGCCTAAAGTACACCGCAAAGACTTGTCCTTGTTGCTTGACTTGCTTCCTTCAGAACCTCTTCGTTGGGAGGGCGATGCTGGAGCGAAATCGTTCCAAGGTGGCAGCTTTGTTCACGGCCCGATGTGCGGGGTGCGATCAACGACCAAGCAGTTCCCGGAAACTGTCAAGGCAATGTGCTCTTATGTCAAAGGCCTTTTTCCAGGTTTGGAGTTCGGAACTGTTGGGATGTTCAGGGATGTGTCTGCTCAGCCCCACCGGGACTCGAATAATGAAGTCTCCACAGACAATGCGATTGCTGCGCTATCGGATTTTTCTGATGGCTCTGTGTGGATGGAGGATCCTGCGGGTGACGTCGAGCTTGAAATCAAAGGTCGCGCAGTGAGAGGTGTTTGCATTCCCGTCACCCATGAAGGCTTCAGGTTCGATGGCCGTCGCCTGCATTGCACAAGGCCTTGGACAGGCCGGCGTGACGTTATTGTTGCGTACATGCCGAGGGGGCCTAAGAAACTTAAAGCTGAGCACGCCTCTTTCTTGGAGAGCCTGGGATTTGTGCTTGATCGAGCGGCTTCGGGGTCCCAAGTCTCGCCTGGGGACATGACTAAGGCTGTCATTGGTGTGTACCGGACACCATCGCAGTTTGTTGAACAGGCAATTAAGGTTGGGCACCCCACGCAGCTCTCCGCTCTCATGCCTTCCGAGATCTCCTGTGCAGTCCGGAGAATCCATAAAGAAGGTGAGGCCAATGTGGCCAAGGAGCGCACCGCAACACTTCGCCGGTGGGTTAGCAGAGCAGCCGACTTAGAGCCAGCCGAGCGCGCGCTAAAGGCCGACCTTCCTCAGTTTCGAAAGGATGTTCTTAGTCCTAAACGCCTCGCTCTTTTCGAGGAGCTGTTGCTTGAAGTGGGACATGAGGACGTTGACCTTGTCAAAGACATTGCCCATGGGTTTGACTTGACAGGCAAGCTGCCTAGATCAAATGTTTTCGCTAAGCGCTTTCGTCCTGCGGAGCAGAGTGAATCTCAACTTCGATCCAGCGCTAAGAGGCTGCGTGATGGTCTCTTAGCAACGATCAAAGCTTCGGAGGATCCTGTGATTGACCAGGGTGTTCTTAAGGCGACGATGAAGGAGCTTGAGCGCGGCTTCGTTGATGGACCGTTGTCTCCAGACCAGATCCCTGAAGATGCGTCCTTAACACATCGTTTCGGAGTCATTCAAGGGAGCAATGAAGACGGTCCAAAGGTGAGGCCCATAGATAATTACCTGTCTTCCCAAGTCAATGCCGCAGTCACGCAGGTTGAACAAGTCAGCGTGCACACCATTGATGTGGTGGCCGGGATGCTGGCCTGTTGGTTAAATGAGTGGTTCGTCAGCGGGCGCCCAGAGCACAGCACGCCAGTGTGCAAGGCGTGGGACCTGCGTACCGCCTATAAACAACTTCCCCTTTCGGATTTAGCTTACGCCTTAGATAGTTTCTTTGTGCTCTTCAACATTGAGCGTGGGACGAGCGAAATCTATCGCCAGAGGGTGCTTCCCTTCGGCTCAACAGCCAGCGTGACCAGCTTCATAAGAACGGCTTACGCCATTTGGAAATTAGGTGCCGTAGGGTTGACTCTTGTCTGGAGTGAATACTTTGATGACTATCTGAATCTTTGCGGCAAGGCTTTTGCTCGGCATAACGACTTTGTAATCTCCATGTTATTCCAACTGCTGGGATGGGAGATCTCGAAGGATAAGGAGCTCAGCTACGATGCACTTTGCGTCGTCCTGGGAGTGCAAGTGAACCTTCGTGATGCCAAGCTCGGTTTGGCTTACTTGGAGAATACCGTGAAGAGGCGGACCGAGGCGTTGTGTGACATTGAGCGGGCTTTAGCAACTGGTAAGCTTGAACCTAAAGAAAGTGAAAAGCTAAGGGGCCGGTTGCAGTTCGCTTGTTGCCAAATTTTTGGCCGGCGACCAAAGGCGGCTTTGAAGTTGTTGTCGCAACACTCCAGGCAACGCAGATGGGACGTCAGCCAACTCACGCGGCTCGCACTCACTCAGCTGAAAAGTTTCCTTGAAAGTTCCAAGCCACGTCCAGTCAGGGCGCGGCGTGAAGATTTTGTCCATGTGTATGTGGACGCTTCCTTCGAGCCAAACGGCCATTGTGGTTTAGGAGGAGTAGTCTTCAGTTCTTCTGGTGAGGCGTTGTGCTGGTTTGGTCAAGCTGTTGCCCCAGTACATGTGCAGAAGCTTTTGAAAGCTGGTGACCGCGAAAGGGAGACAGTGATCTTCGAGCTTGAGGCGCTTGTGCTCAGCATTTGCCTCGAGGCATTTCGCCCGTACGTCGAGCGGAAAGGTGTTGTCATTTTCACTGACAATGAGGGCGTGTTCGGAAGCTTCGTCAGAGGCCATAGTGACAATGCTTCTTGTGCTGCCTTGATCGACTTCTTTGCTTGCTGCGAAGAGAGCCTGGAAACGATCTGCTGGCTAGATCGTGTGCCATCCTCTTCCAATCCTGCAGACGACCCCTCACGTGGCGTGAGCATCCGAGGTGCACCACGTGTCGATCTTGACATGAATCTCTTGAGTCGCGCGCTTCCTGAAGTCTTTGGGTGAATGGGGTACATGTTCTCAGGGGGAAGCGGGATGTACCGCATTCACTTGGGATGTCCAAGAGTTTTCCCTAGCTGAGACAATCGACGGATTCCCCATGCCACCTACGAGGAAAAGTCTTGTGCTGTCGAGTGAGTGCGTTGCGAACTCTTGAGATACGCAATTATGTTTAATATACAGATTGGAGAAATTCTGTTTTCATGATAAATATTTCTCCTTATGATTCGATTGATGCCAGCCGATTGAAATATGTTCTCCGTATGGCATCCATGCATTGTTCAGGTTCACGCGGTAACTTTACACAAGTGAAAATAAGCCACCATCGCAGCTTGCCTGCGTACGGTATTATTTTCACGTGGAAAGTTTGATTTTGAAATCTTATTTCAAAATCAACGCTTGAGTTTTCAAACGTCTCTTGATGTCAGTCTGCAACTGTTGAGCCATGCGAAGATGCGAAATTCCAGTTGCCGTTGTGCTCTGAGGTAGAGCGCAATTTTTGTTTTCTCCCACCCACCCACCCGGGGGGAAGCGGGATGTACCGCATTCACTTGGGATGTCCAAGAGTTTTCCCTAGCTGAGACAATCGACGGATTCCCCATGCCACCTACGAGGAAAAGTCTTGTGCTGTCGAGTGAGTGCGTTGCGAACTCTTGAGATACGCAATTATGTTTAATATACAGATTGGAGAAATTCTGTTTTCATGATAAATATTTCTCCTTATGATTCGATTGATGCCAGCCGATTGAAATATGTTCTCCTTATGGCATCCATGCATTGTTCAGGTTCACGCGGTAACTTTACACAAGTGAAAATAAAACCATAACTCCTTCATAAAGTCTCGTTATAGATCCTCCCCGAAGTCCTGCCTGATCTTTCCCTAAACCCTCGCATGGCCAAGGCCCCCGTAAACTTGTAGATAGACGACCCTACAATTTTTTGCGCATGCCACCCCTCATGTTTTTCGTGTATGCTCCTCCAAACGCTTGCTTGCGGACCCTCCCCCAAATCCTGCCTTGCAGATCCTGCCCTAAACTCTGCAGATCCTTCCCTAACCCCCCCCTTTTGCATTCCAAACCCTGCCCCGCAAATCACTGCCCAATGCCTCCTGCAGCACAAATTCTTATTCTTCGTGCGCATTTCCAGTGCTTTGGTGGTCCTGCAGGCCTCCCAACCCTTAGCCCTCCAGATAATGCCGCCCAAGCCTCCACCTGGCATAGTGCCCGAATAGTGCCCGAATAGTGCCCGAAATAGTGCCCGAAATAGTGCCCGAATGAACCCTTCATAGTGCCCAAATACATTTCCTTTCGTAAAGGAAGGAAAATCTCCTTTTTCTTCGCGAAAAATCATTTGGGCACTATGAAGGGTTCATTCGGGCACTAGTTCGGGCACTATTTCGGGCACTATTCGGGCACTATTCGGGCACTATTTGAAGGCGTCTACTATTCATGCACCGCAGCCTTGCCAAGTCCCTCCCAACACTTCTCCAGGCCTGAAAACCTCCGTCCAGGGCTTCCCTACCCTGCCACACTTTCGACGAGCTTTACGAGCCCATTTTCGGGGCCCGGAAAACAACAAAAAACGTAGGACACATCAGAGTACCCCCACAGTTACAGTGGCAAACAACGGTGCTTAAGCAGCACAAGCCCAATCACCAGGGTAGCAACGGAGCGTTTTGATTGATTTCAACAGACGCGGTCGCTCGCGACACTGGTCGCCGCATGTCGGGCAAAACTTTGGTAAAGCTTCAAACACGTCGCCCTCGCAGAATTGCGCAGTTTTTGAGCTCGGGTTGGTCCCCATTTTGAAGCCAAAAATTGGTTCCCAAAGCTGAGACCGCCTGATTGGAAACTATTAGGGGAGACCCCATTTTGGGCTTCGTTTTTGGAGCTCGAAAATGGGCTCTAGAATGGATCGAAAACCTTTGGACAAAGACGCTCCCAATTGGATTGGAAAAAAACTCGAAAAACAACTTTGTAGCTATGCGCGGGGTTTGTGCGTGGTCAGCTTGAGACTGTTGACCATGATGTCATGACAACTAGTTGTCATAAATACCACAGCAAGGCGGCAACTGACTATGGGGGTACTATAATGCGTCCTACAGTTTTCGTGGTTTTTTGAACACTGAAAATGGCCTCGGGCGATAGTACAAGTCTGGAATTGGTTGTAACCTTCCAAACCCCCCGCTCCCCCCAAATTCAACGTTTACATAGAAGCGCCCAATGAGCATAGCGGCACACATTGCGGCACACGAGGGGGCGGGGGGGAGGTTTCTGAATATGCAAGCGAGAAAACTGTCAATGACTGACTGCTGCTGCACTCGATAAAAACCATAACTCCTTCATAAAGTCTCGTTATAGATCCTCCCCGAAGTCCTGCTTGATCTTTCCCTAAACCCTCGCATGGCCAAGGCCCCCGTAAACTTGTAGATAGACTACCCTACAATTTTTTGCACATGCCACCCCTCATGTTTTTCGTGTATGCTCCTCCAAACGCTTGCTTGCGGACCCTCCCCCAAATCCTGCCTTGCAGATCCTGCCCTAAACTCTGCAGATCCTTCCCTAACCCCCCCCTTTTGTATTCCAAACCCTGCCCCGCAGATCACTCCCCAATGCCTCCTGCAGCACAAATTCCTATTCTTCGTGCGCATTTCCAGTGCTTTGGTGGTCCTGCAGGCCTCCGAACCCTTAGCCCTCCAGATAATGCCGCCCAAGCCTCCACCTGGCATAGTGCCCGAATAGTGCCCGAATAGTGCCCGAAATAGTGCCCGAAATAGTGCCCGAATGAACCCTTCATAGTGCCCAAATACATTTCCTTTCGTAAAGGAAGGAAAATCTCCTTTTTCTGCGAAAAATCATTTGGGCACTATGAAGGGTTCATTCGGGCACTAGTTCGGGCACTATTTCGGGCACTATTCGGGCACTATTCGGGCATTATTTGAAGGCGTCTACTATTCATGCACCGCAGCCTTGCCAAGTCCCTCCCAACACTTCTCCAGGCCTGAAAACCTCCGTCCAGGGCTTCCCTACCCTGCCACACTTTCGGCGAGCTTTACGAGCCCATTTTCGGGGCCCAGAAAACAACAAAAAACGTAGGACACATCAAAGTACCCCCACAATAAGTTCAGGTGTTCCCTTGAAATACTTTCCAACATGCCTTAGCAGCTCCATGTCTGCTTCAACGGGTGATGCGAGCTTCGTTGACAGCTTCTTCAAGACCTACATGATATCTGGCCTCTCGGGCGCGAGATACAGTAATATCCCTACTCCTTTTCTGAACGTTTGGTGATCTTCTGCATTCAGCGGTTCCACTCCACCTTCTTTTGTTTGAAATGACCTTCCATTGTTCGCTGGACACGGTAGTTTCTTTGGGTATGCTCCTTCCAGCTTGAGCACTTCTACCAGTCCTTCAATGTACTTTGAATTCATTTTGATTTCTACGCTTCCATCACTCATCGACTTGAAATTTCTTTTCAGGAAACTTATTGATCCTTCCTTCTCATCTAGTGGTGCTTCCACTTTGATGTTCAATCCTTTGCTTCTCAGGAATTCGACCAATTTCTTGAACTCTTCTCTTGATGCGTATAACTCCATGTCATCTACATGACTCAGCACGATTATTCCGAATCCTTCTTTGTATGGTGTTCTTGAGAATAGTGCCGGGAGTCCACTGTCGCTTGTTAACCCGTATTCTTCCAAGTAACTTTTCAACTTTCCGAACCAAGCTGCACTCCCGATTCGCTGACCGGGCAACGTGTATCCCATTTCGTAGTACTCTCCATCGACATCAAACACTGTTGGTTCTTCTTGCGCCACCATTAGGTAAGCATCTCCAACATCGATACTTCCAAGTGTATATCTGTCTGAAGACGCGAACAAAGCTGACAGTAGCTTCACTGAGCTTGCTACACCGGTTGGCGACAACAAACTTGCAATATCTGTATCACCTAACCACTTGAATTCTTTTGCTACCAATCGTCCTCTTCTTTTCAATTGTTTGTCTCTGTGTCTCCAGTTTATAAACTATCTTTGTCGACAGAACTTTGTACTTCGAAATGTCTGTTCCTTTTAGCAACTTGTTCAGCACTTTCATTTTCTCCAGTCTCTCCAACTCGTGCCTCTTGGACACACCTTCGACTTTCTCCATTTCTTCATCAGCTAACTTTGGTGGTCCGCTTTCGAAATCATTCGACCATTTGGCATATCTTCTGGTATCTTTTCTTCGCCATCTGATTCTTGCCATTCTTCTTCCTCATCAAACTCAGCTTCCATTTCTTCAAATTCTTCCAACTCGACTTCTTCATTATCAGGATACTGCGGAAGTTCCTTTCTTAAGAATGGTTCTATCTTCTTCACACTTCTCATGTCGATCACTCTTCTCACCGAACTTGATGCATCTCCGACAGCAATAAACTTCTCTGGTTTCTCTTCAACTTCCGTCGGTCCTTCATCCACTTTCTGTCTCACCGCTTCTGGCTGCTCGCCTTTTTCTTTCTGGGTGGGCGGAAGCGGGGTTGAGTGGGGAGGTGGGGCATGTCGTTCTTTGTTTTTGACCTGGTTCCACTGTCCTGGCCTCGCTGGACACTGCAACGATGGCGGGAGCGAGGGCGTGCACTGCGGAGGCGAAAGCTTATCGGGCGTGGTGGGTTAGTTTGCTGTCGGGGCTTCCGGGCCGGGCGAGGAACTCGCCACGGCTGTACAGCTTGACATCTTTGACCCGGAGCCCGAGCTTTGGGTTATTGCCGCCGACCAGTTCCGAAACTCGCAAGAGAAAAAAGAAACCAAGTTGCAGTGCACAGTTGAGCTGTCTTCCCCACAGCCCCCGTGGCAACGCCGCTTGGGCCCGTGCTAACATGTGCGGAGTAACCGGACGTCGTTTGGCGATGGGTCCTTTTCTCCTCCTGATTCCCTCGAGTGCAAGTTGCAAACGAGGAAGCGGCTTCAGCGGGTCTGGGAAGCCGAGCTGTAGGTGTACGCTTCGGATCGCTCCCAGGCGGGCCTGTGCTGTGGCTGCTGCTAGCCCTTGGCCCACAAATAGGTACACCAGATAGTCGAGGAACAACGACTCTTCTCCGGGATCGAAACGATCCACGGAGCGGAGTGTTGAAACGCCCCGACGTCTAGTGTATAGCTCCCACCAGCGCCAATGGCCGTCATACAACCGCTGGGTGGATGGTGATAGGTGGTCTTTCACCAACTGCAATCTTTCTTGCGCCCAGCGACGGGCGGGGACTACCCCTGGTTCCGGCCCCTCTTCTGAGAATTTCCGCTTCGTTTCTGCGGGGGAATTCCCGCTCGGGGCAACGAGGGGGTGACTGCCTCGACGCCGATGATGTCGGGTCGTTAAGCTCGAGGTCTGGGCGGGCAAGAGTTCTCCTCGGGTTTCCCGGCGTGTCTCTCGTACCGCAAACCTGACCTTGCGCGTTCCTTCCCCCACCCTTCGGGACGCCGGGCGCGGAGCGCGCCACGGCGGACCCGGCCAGGTGATGAGTAACGCAACAAGGGCAGAAGCTCCCAACAGTGGTGGTACCACGCGGTTGCCAAGTCGACCGGTTTCCTCTGCTTGTCGGTCGCACCCCTGTAACACGAGCAAAGCGAGGGCGGCGAGGCTACCAAGGACCACCCGAAGGAACCCTGTATAATTGGACCCCTGGCGTCTGGCCGCGGGTGTGCTCCCCGACGTTGGCAGTCGAGGAACACGGGGCTCAAGCGGGGAACAATCCAGACAGGGCTTGTATGCCCGGCTCTTCCTCGCCCTCAAGTGTCCGCAATGCTCCGCATGGAAGCATTCGCCGGCGGGCGTTACACGGACGTGGTCGGTCGCCGGCGGGTGTCCTTGGGTGGTTTGGCAGGCGACCTCTTTCTTCTCGACGCCCCAGCCTAAGGTCGTGCGCCAGGCAAGGTAGAGGCAGCCGGTGGTCAGGAGCCTGTGTGTCCATAGCTCCCAGGCTCCCCCTTCTTCCACAGTGTCCCCTTCGGCAGCATTTGCAACGATGGGAAGCAGAGCGACGGTGGTCGGCCAGAGAGCTCGCGTGACGATTCTCCGACGCGTGACGAAAGGGTCGAGCTATCCACGGTCGAGTGGGAGGGGGAGCTTTACTGTCGGCTGGCTGGGCGAGCGTGGGGCCACCGGTTCTTCCTCTCCGACCTAGCATCATCCCAAGCCCCAGTCCGGTCCCTTCTCCGGCCATGCCCGGGCCTGAAGCAGGCCACGGTGCCTTATTCCCGAGAGGAGGACTAGTGGGTCCCGGTAGTGCATTCGCTGGCTGTATGCTGTAGGTAGCGACCATCCCCCATAGTGCCAGGAATCTCCCGGTTCTCCAGCCCGTCCTCAGTCGGGCACCTGCCGGGCCCGGAACGCATGGCCCTCTCGAGGTGGGGTGAGCCCGAGTGCGCGTAGGGGTGGTTCTGCTCACTTTCAGTAGGGTCGTACTTCCTGGTTTTTCCTTGCTTCTCGCAAAACCTGGCCCATTTGATGCGTCGCCGGCGCTCGGACTCAGGCTTGCGCTTCTGAGCTACTGCGGCTCGCATCGGGGCGTCTAGCTCCCCAGCCCGCAGCTCTGCCTGGAAGCGCCGCAGGTTGTCCCTTGCCGCCTCATTCATTTGAAAGTTGAGGTGGCTGGCTGCGTCCGCTTGGTCGCGGACCGGGTCTTGCACCCCTGCACCAGCGCCTTCGGCAGTCTGCTGAGCCGCTCGGTGTGCAGCAGCTCGCAGGCGGGATTTCTCCTTTCTGCGTGCCACCCACACTCCGGCGGCTTCCTTGTCCTGCAGGAAACGAGCGTGGTTGATCCACCCGAGGCTTTTATCCATGCTGGGCATCACTGGGTTTTTGCGTTCCAGTTCTGCCAGGGCCGGGGGCGCCGCGAAGTAGGCGGCTTCTGCGCCCTCGAGCTCCGCGACCCTCGAGGTTGCCGCCTGCGCGCAGGCGTCGCGGTTCTTGGAGAACGCTTGCGCCAGGGACGTAAGGTTCTCCACAAGCTCGCTCTTCTCTTCGCCCGACCCGTGGGCTTCTCTGAGAGCACGCTGAACCCCGGACCAGTTGGACGCGTTGGCTGCGGCCAAAGCCCGGAGAAGCGACAACTGGCCAGTAGCCAACACCACTTTGCGGCGGCGTGGGGGTTCCTCCGTCTCGTCGAGCTCGAGTTCCTTCTTAGTTCCCCGGCCCTCCTCTTGTTTAGTGGAGCTGGACGCGGCCTCGCCCGGCAAGGCGGTAGCTACTGGAATTTCGGCCTCGTCGCCAGACCAATCCGGGTCTTCATCTTCCAGCGACATCTTGCCGATTTCCGCCGTCAACGTGTCCGGGTCGACCTTCAGCGCGATGGCTTCCGGCTCTGCCAGAGCCACCTCCCCCAACGCCTGGGCGGCGTCAACAAGGGGCTGCAAAGGACCTCCTTCTTCAACCTTCGGGCCCCAGATTGCCTGGGTTTCGCCTTCGCCGGGCGCGAAACGCGCCTCGGCGGACGTCGAGGCGCTCTCCCCTGGCGCAGCTTGCTCTTCCTTCAGTGCTGCTTCCTGGGCGGTAGTTTTCGAGGCGCCCAGACCCGGACCGACCGCAGGCTCAACCTCCGCTATTCCGGGAGCGGAACGCTCCACGGAAGGCATCGGTTCGTCGCCCTCGAGCGTGGCTTCTGCTATTCCGGGAGCGGAATGCTCCACGGAAGGCATCGGCTCATCGCCCTTGGGGCTGCCCTCTGGAGGGTACTGGTCTGAGTTCCTCTGCTCAGCGACCTCTATCAGTTCTTCGTCCCCCAGCTCCGGCTCGGGGCGTTCTGAGGTTTCTGCTGGGCCGTCGGTTGACCCGAGAGCCCCTTGTTCGCCGCCTCGTGCCGGAGTACCGGGTTGGTGGCGTGGCCTAAGAACGACGGGTTCCGGTGGAGGTCGCGCTTCCATGGCTCGCAGGCGCTGTGTGGCGTACGCTGCTCCGCTCAGGGTGGACTGCTCCCTGCGGTCCGAACAGGACTCACAGTCGGAGTCCAGAGCTCTCTGCAACTCCACGCCCACTGTGCCCCGGGGCGCGGCCGACGCCAACTTACGCCTGGCCTCTTGCCTCTCGGTAAAGCGTGCGGCCTCTTTGTGCTCAGCCACAGCCTCGGCCCTTTGTTGGGCTTTTTCGGCCGCGGTTTTCGCAGCTCCTTCCCGGCGCGAGCCGGCGGCCGTTCCGGGAGCGGAACGCCCCACGGAAGACCCCGCTGCCCGCGGTGGGAAGGGAACCGGTCCTTTCCGCCAGGACTCGATCTGCGAGATATACTCAGGGGGTATTCCGTCCGGTGCCAGGTAAATGTCGTTGGTAGTGAGTAGGAACCGAACCTGGGCATACCGAGCGGCTTCTCTGGCGAGAACAAACACGGAGGTTTCGATGTCCGATCTCCACCTGCCGTGTTTGGACCCACATGCAGGAGAGGAGGTGGATCGCTCTGCGCGCGTGCAATCCTTCCTTGAGGATGTTGTTGCTGTGCCGCGCGTAGGAGCCGTGCACAAGCACCTCTGGAACCTCCTGTAGGGGCAGCTCTCTGCCAGGCCCCACAACCCCTGCCATGGTGTGACCTGACACGGCCGCCACCCACACTTCTTCACCCTCTTGAGAAAGAATTAGCCTATCTTTCTCGTCTCGCCCAATGATTCGGGCGGCATCTTCGCCGGATATGGTTCCGACGCACTCGTTGAGGTCCTTCAACGAGACCCATCCGTCTTCGCGGATCGGAAGACCCAGGAGGGCAGCCTCGTGTCTGAGGATCTTGACCAGCCTTCGCCGGTCAGCGTCACTCCGGGCTCGGAACGAGCCACGGAGACGCTCCAGCTTCTCCTGGTCCCTGCGCCCCTTATGGGCTCCCTTTCCCTTCAGGGCAAGACGTGCATCGCTCTCATCGTCATCTGTGGCGTCCCAGCCTTCCCCCGGGAGTTTATGGACCTCTCGGGCCCCGATCACCCTAACCTGTACCCCTTGTTCCCCATGGCTCAACAAGTGCAGCGCATCCCTTCGACAGGGGTCCCAGGAGCCATCGTGCAGGGGGGGCATGGGCTTGGTGGGGTCCCAAACAAGAGCGCGCGACCCCCCCTGGGTACGAACCGTCCCACAGGGTTTGGGGGACTTCAACCCAAGGAATGGGAAAGTGGGGTCAAGGTGCACTGTCCCTTCAACCCAGCCAGCCTTGGGTTTGGGGTCCAACCAGTGGGTGGCGTACGTGTGCAGGGGTGGCGTGCAGGGCTCGAGAGCAGCCCTTTTTTCACCTGTCGCAGCACGAGCTTCCTGTCCTGCGCCGGGGTTTTACACCGACTAGCACCCAGCGGTGCCACCACACCTGTTCTTTAAAGGTGCGGCCGGTGAACTCCTCCGTCCACCACTCCCAGCGGTTCTGAGCATCTTCTGTGCAAATCGCTTCGACCGCGAGTGGGCGAAAAGAGTCTATCCAAGTGCTCGCGGCCTGCGCGGGCACGCCAGACACGACCCGTCGCGCCTCCGCTTCGCCAGTCACGGTGGCGACGCAAAGCAGACGTTCTTCCTGCGTCGGGGTTTCCTCCTCACCGGGAGCGGAACGCTGCACGGTGGGTGCCCCTTCTAAAGTGGCTAAAGAGTCTTGGGGGTCATGCTTCAAGCCTCCAGCGGCAAAGAAAGCCCGGGTGCACACGCCGTGCTCCGAAGCACCGAGCTCGTGCACCTTCCAACCGAACGCTGGCATGGCCCGTGGAGGGGCCGGTCCAATCCTCCGTGCGGCGAGCTGCAGGGCCATCTGCCGATCGGAGTCTGGTTGGCCCACCCACAAGAGGGCTCTGCGGTGCCAAGCTTCTCCCAGTACTCGGCCCCAATCGTCTGGAACACTGAGGCGTGTCAGCCTCTGTTGCTCCATGACTCTGTCGGGGTCAAGCCGGGTCAGGTCGTCGGCGGTTTGGTTGTGATAAGTGCGAAGGTATGCCCCCCTCACTTGTAGGCCATGGACCCCCTCTAACGCTCCCAAGACTTTCAGGAGGTGGTTGGCTTGCGCATTCCCGGCTTGTCGCTTGCGCAACCAATCTTGCACATTGGTGTTGTCTCCCAAGTACAGAACCACGCTGCCTGCCCAGGCTTCCTTTCTGGCGACTACTAACACGAGCAAGGCCAGCAATTCCGCGACGCCTATTTGTACCAAGTCCTCCTCGGGCTCGGTACGAGCCTCGAGGTCGGTGGAATCCTGGGCATTGGCCTCAAGGGGCGATAAGAGGAGCTGCGGCGCAAGCTACTGCGACCCTTGCGGTCCAGTCGATCGCTCCCAGCGGCGTGGCGTCAGCTGACACCCAGACCAGGTTGCGCTTGACCTCTGGTAGGGCCAAGAGTTCGGGCGTGGTGAGGGCGTGCTCGAGCTGTGAGACGAAGCGCGCCTCCCAAAATTGCCGCGAACCGACCAGCAGCCTTTGCAGCTCGATGGCGCTCCAGAATGCTTCCCACTGTGCGGACTGTTCTGCCTCATTCCCGCGTAGGACGACGTGGCCTTCTCGGTCAGCGGGTCCCAAAAGCGCATTAGTGCTCTGGAGGTAAGGGGCGAGTTGTGGGAGGACCCCTAGCCAGAACTGTTGAGAGCCCCGCAACACCTGGACTTCTTTGAGCGGTACCTTGGTCTGGCCGGCGTCGAAGTACGGGGACTGGAGGACGTGGTAGGCTCGTTCGACCTTGAGAGGCGGGAGCCGACAGGTTCCGGCTTCTGTATCGAACTCTAGGCCCCAAATCAATTTTCTCGTGGTGAGGGTACCCTCCTCGACGTCTTTGGCTGCGTTGATGGCGAGTGGCCCCAGGGTCTGTCGGATCGCTTCTTCCAGAGCGTCGACCGACAGCTGAGGGCGTAGGCCCAAGTCAGGCTCGATCACAACCGAGTCGTCCATTAAAGCGAGCGACCGGAAGGAGGACGAGTCGTGCCACTCGGGCCGGTCGGGCCCGCATGCTCTGTGTAGCAACTTGATCGCCCATGCAAAAGCCATGAACTCTCCTGGGGCCCCCGTCCATCCAAACGTCATTGCGAGGTACAAAACCGTAACCGGGCGCGAAGCGTCGCCACGGCTGTCCCGGGTAGCCCCTTCAGTGGGAAGATCCGCTCCGAAAAGCCGGCAGTCGTCCTGCTCGACCCAAAGCCACTTAAAGGCTTCTGAGACGTCTTTCTTTGCCCCTTAGACGCGGACTCCGGGGTACCGGCTCTTGTACCACATCACCAGCCTTACTACCTCAGCGTATCTGGGCTGGATGGCTGGAAAATGGTCGTCCTTATGGCAAAGCTCATTAACGACTCTGGCGTCCCATATTACTCTCCCTTTGGAGGAGACTGACCTGTCTGGGTTGTACTTCGGCACTCTTGCCAATGGTACAGATACCACCCCATCTAACAGGTCTTCTTCATCGGGGCCGGGGCTCATCAAGAGCACTCGTCCTCGCGTAGCGTCCTGCCAGATTAGTTGCCGAGCTTCTTCCACATGATCCTTAAGAGAGGGATGCGGGGTGGCCTTAACCCGGGCACGCTGCGTGCCACGGTACTCGGCCTTTACCCTTTCCTGGGCAACTCTTCTAACCCACGCAAGGAGATCCTCCGGAAGGTGACTATCGAGGTGGTGATCGAAAAGCCCTGCGAAGTGATCTTCTCCCCGAGCCCTCCACGCGTAGCGCAGCGCTCCCACAGCCTCCTTCCATCCTCCACAAAGCCTGAGGAGGGTCGTGCCAGCCTGCACGGCACCATTCCAAGCCTCCAAAGAGTACTCGACCTGGTGCACCTTCCGCAGGTAGGCCTCGGCCGCGTCCTCTGCTTCTTTGGAGAGACTCTTGGGCAGCCAGGACGGTGGAGGCCCCAAGAGCGGGCCAGAGTCAGCGAACAGCTTTCCGCACCTGACGGAGTCACCTGTTCCCTCGGAGAGGTCGGCCTCCTGGCTTTTTCGCTCAGCCTCCCCCGCAGGGTCATCAAGCACGCTCTTCAGCCTTTGCATTTTGGAAGCAAAATCCTCCTCCCCCCCCGGTACGACAAAGCGCGGCGAGCCCGGGGGCACGCAGAAAGACGCGCGCAACATGGTAACCCTGGCGGTTGGGCCCAACAGGGGGCCGGGCAGGCGTTCGGCATGCCAACACGCTCCGGCCAGTTGGATCCGCGTGGCCTTGTCGGTCCAAGCCCGCCGGTACCCAATAGACCCGGTTAGGCAGAAAGTTGCCTAATCCCGAAATCGTAGGATTCAGCTGAATCGGTCGTTTTCGGCAACACGTTTCGGCAGACCCTTCGGCAAAATCCTTAGGTTTGGGCAGCCCAAAATGAAGCGAATCTTCGGCAGATCCATCGTTGTCGAATTCGACCCATCCTGCCGAATTCGGCAAACCATGGTTTGCCGAATCCGGCAGAATCTGCCGGATTCGGCAACCCGGCCCCGGCCAAACTTCAATCAAACTTCCTCGCCCAGGCCGCCAAAACTTCCACCAAACTTCCTCTCCCAGGCCCCCCAAACTTCCACCAAACTTCCTCTCCCAGGCCCCCAAACTTCCACCAAACTTCCTCTCCCAACCCTAAACCCTAAACCCTAAACCCCTAAACCCCTAAACCCTAAACCCTGACCCCAAAACAGAAAAGCCTGTAAATACCAGCAAGAAAGAACTTCGCCCTTCAATCTGTGCCATGTGTGCAAGATTTCCCAGCTTTTCGTGCTCCAAATCGCCAACACGAAACTTCCACCAAACTTCCTCGGTTCAGGCCTTCAAACTTCCACCAAACTTCCTCGGTTCAGGCCTTCAAACTTCCACCAAACTTCCTCTCAAACCCTTTGTAGCCGCCCCAAACTTCCACCAAACTTCGGGCGAAGTTTGGGCGAAACTTCCTCGAAACTTCCTCTGGTCGCGTGTCGAGGGATCGGACGCAGTTTTGTCGTATTCGGCAGATTTTGCCGTATTCGGCAACTACTTTCGGTTAACAACTTGTCGATTCGACAACACAGGTTTGCCGAATTCGGCAACTTGTTGTTTTAACGATTCGACAGGAATCTGCCGAAGTCTAACAAGTTACCGGTTCGGCAGAAATCTGTCTAACCGGGTCTATTGGGTAGAGGGGAGCCTCGAGCACGCAACGCCCGCCTGTTTGCAACTGCGCGGCGGCCAACCGCAAAACTGAAGACCACTCGTCGGCGGGCGGACCCGGCGGCAGCGCAGCGGGGAGCAGCCAGAGGCAAGAGACGCCTCCTTCAGTCAGCGGCGTCGGGCAAAGGTTGCCAGGCACAGTCGGAGGCGGCGTGCGCCGTGGAAGGCCCCAACACCAGCAGCGGGAGGGGCTGTCCCGCGGGGGGCAGACAGGAGAGCAGCGGCCAGTCGCCGGACGTGGTCGGAACGGCGGGAGCAGCGGTGGGCGTGTCGGGCCCGGAACGGGCCTCGACAGGGTGGCCGCGACCTGCGCGCAAAACTTGCAACCCAAACGCCCCGGCCTCCCGCCCCGTCCGAAACGAACCGGGCGCCCGCTTGGGGTGGCAGACCTGGCACTGCAGGAGACGCCCCGCGTCCAGCAAGCGCATGTGGCCACGGTGCACCAGCACCCATCGGGTGTCCTCAGCTTTGCCGCTGTAACGGCTGCCACAGACAACCTCCACGCTAGGCCGCATATATGCGTCGAGGCGCAGGACGGCCAAGCCCAGGCAATCCCTTTGCAAAGGGTGGGCAACCAAAGTACGGTAGTCTCGGTCGTGCCCAAAATGGAGAAGGTCGTGGTGGAACACCCGGACATCCGCTTCGGCCTGCGTGAGCCGTTCGGGCGTTGGCCCCAAAGAGTCCTCGGCGACTCGTGCCTGCGAGCACCACCGGACTCTCCACTCAGCGGCGAGAGTCCAAACCGCCTCGGGCGTTGGGAGGGGCTGGTCCGGCGTTGCGAGATATGCGGCGGCAACGTGCAGCAACAAGCACTGCTTAGGCTCGTCGCGGACGTCGGCAAATCTCATCTGTTCGCAGGCCTCCGGGGAGAGGGGAAGCTGGTCCTGGTAGTCGTACATGGCCCAGTGACCGACGCCCTTCCAGGTGAGCGTTCCGGCCCCGATGGAAGAATTCCATGTAAGGCCCGAAAGCTGCACCAGTGGGGACTCGCCGGCCTTGCGGTGAACGCCGCGCTCCTCAAGAAGGTGGGCAGCCTCTTCAGACAGTTCTGGTCCACCCAGGGATACGGCTTCCTCCAACGGTGCGTAACATCCTCAAGCTCAGGGGCGCGGCCCGTTTCCTCGCGGAGGCATAGAAGGCGATTGCGCAGGTACACGCCCACCAATCCAGGAGGATAAGGCCCCAGGGCGGGCTCCGCAGCGTCAACGACGCGCATAGCGTCCGCTCGCGCTGACTTCTCAAACTTTGAACTAGGGCAGGTAAGAGTAGCGGCGGCAGCGTCAACGTCGTGCCACCAGTTGTTGCCTTCGTCTTTGAGAAGCGCGCCAAGGGTTTCTTCACGATCGGTGGGCAGGACATTGTCCAAATCTGCCACCACATGTCCTGTCTGTTCCCGAGAGGCGCGGTCAGCGTTGCCCGTGCCCGCGGCTTGATTGGTCCGCTGGGTGGCCGAAACTTTGGCCTTAGCGGCAGCGATACCTTCCTGCTTAGCTGCGGCGGCTTTTGCAGCTTGCTCCGCCCGAACCCGGGTAAACTCGCGGTCGACTTCGTCCCCCGTTTTGGCCTTAGAGCCCTTAAGGCCCCCTCGGCGCAGCAACTGGAGCTGGACCGTGTAATCCAGTGTCGTCCACTTGGGAGCGGCCTTGTGTGAGTGGGGGCAGCCGTTATACCCTTGTTACACCCGCGATGTGTCAGGAAGTCCCAGCAGAGGTATTGGCCCTGTTGGTCTTTCGGCCGGTGGTCCAGGGACCGGGCCGCTTCCTTGGGTGTGAGGCTAGGACCGAGAAGTTTCGGTGGTGCGGCTTTATCCGCCGCTTCGCCCCCAGCTCGACCCCCAAAAGTGTGGCCGCAGCCTTTCGGGAGGAATGCTCGGGAAGGCATTCTCGGCCTTTTTAGGTATCTGGAGGCCGTTTCGCTAGTCAATTGGCGCGTACAGCAGTCGCTGTAGTTCAACGCCATTACTAGCTTCCAGAAAGACAGCAAGCATGCCCCCTTGGGGTGCTTTGTGTTTTTGCTGCTTGGCTGCCGCTTGCCAGGCCTGATGGATTGCCGGCAGGTGGCAATCCTAAGGGGTGTAGATTGTCAGAAGGTGGCAATCCTGGTTGGAGGGGGGGGGGGCTAGATTGCCAACAGGTGGCAATCACACCTGCGTTTTTGGTGCTTAGCTGCCACTTGCCAGGCCTAATGGATTGCCGGCGGGTGGCAATCTTAGGGGGTCTAGATTGTCAGAAGGCGGCAATCGTAGGGGGGGCACAGATTGCCAACAGGTGGCAATCACAGGGGATCTAGATTGTCAGCAGGTGGCAATCTTAGGGGGGGTACAGATTGCCAACAGGTGGCAATCTTAAGGGGGTACAGATTGCCAACAAGTGGCAATCACAGGGGATCTAGATTGTCAGCAGGTGGCAATCTTAGGGGGGGTACAGATTGCCAACAGGTGGCAATCTTAAGGGGGTACAGATTGCCAATAGGTGGCAATCGGGGTGGGGGGTTGGTGGAAAGGGGGCGGATGGCTGTCACACTCCCTTGCTGGCCGGTTGCCCCTTTGGATTGTCAGCAGGTGGCAATCTTCAGGGCTTCAGATTGTCACCTGGTGGCAATCTGGGTGGAGCTTGGTGGAAAGGGGGCGGATGGCTGTCACACTCCCTTGCTGGCCGTTTGCCCCTTTGGATTGTCAGTAGCTCTGGACCCTCCCGGCGGATGGCTGTCCCACTCCCTTGCCAGATTGACAGCAGGTGTCAATCGTGAGAGGTCCGGTGGGGGAAGGGGCCGGTTGTTGGCTTCTTGTTTCAAGGATGTTGAGCACGACAACCAGGACTAACAAAATGGGGCTTTTTTTCTGCACTGGTTCTTGGCTTCTTGTTTTAAGAATGTTGAGCACGACAACTAGGACTAACACAATGGGGCTTTTTTTTTCTGCACTGGTTCTTGACTTCTTGTTTCAAGGATGTTGAGCACAACAACAAGGGTTAACAAAATGGGGTGTTTTTGTTCTGCACTGTTTGCTGGCATCTTGGTGCTTCCCAACGGTGTGGCAAATACAATTTCTATTTATCCTGCTCTTGATAGAAGGTGTGTAGGGTTTGGGTCCGGGGTTTTGGCGGGTTTCGGGCGGGTTTTGGCGGGTTTCGGGCGGGTTTTGGCGGGTTTTGACAGGGTTTTTGCTTTTGCTTTTCTTGTGCAGGTGGCTTTGTTTTTTGCTGCCGAGCCCTGCCCTGCCCTGCCCCTGCTGTGCCCTGCTGTGCTCTGCGTCCTGCTGTGCCCTGCCCTGCCCTGTCCTGAAAATGTGTAGGGTTGGGGTCCGGAGTTTTGGCGGGTTTTGGCGGGTTTTGAAAGGGTTTTTGCTTTGGTTTTTTTGTGCAGATGGCTTTGTTTTTTGCTGCCTCGAGCCCTTCCCTGCCCTGCCCCTGCTGTGCCCTGCTGTGCCCTGCGTGCTGCTGTGCCCTGCGTGCTGCACTGCCCTGCCCTGCCCTGCCCTGCCCTGCCCTGCCCCGACCCGTTTGCACTGCCCTGCCACGATAGAAGTTGTGTAGGTAGAAGGTGTGTAGGGTTTGGGTGTGGGGTTTTGGCGGGTTTTGGCGGGTTTCGGGCGGGTTTTGACAGGGTTTTTGCTTTTGCTTTTTTTGTGCAGGTGAAAATTTGCGATGAAAAGAAATTTTTCACAACATGCTTATTGCTATAGTCGTGACTCTGCCATCCGAACCGTTCAACACACACCTTCTATTTATCATTTGCTTGAGGGTTTAGGGTTTAGGGTTCGACAGCGTAGTCGTCGCCCTAGTCAACTCTTCTTTCTATAGGGCTGACGCTTAAGCGGCAATCCGCTCAAACCAGTTTCCCGTTTAAACTTTTGCCTCCGCCGCCCACGCCCCCGCGCTCCGGCCCCCCCCCCAACCCCCCCAAACCCCAAACCGCACCTGCCCTGCCCCTCCCGCCCCCTGCCCTGCCCCCCTGCCCCCTGCCCCCTGGCCCACTCTTATCCGTAACAAATCGTACTTCCGCGTCTTGGTGGCTCTGTGTGGCCCACTCTTATCCGCAACAAATCGTACTTCCGGATCTTGGTGGCTCTGTGCTTGCCCCAGGAGGCTGTTTGTGGCTGGTTGTCAGCTGAAGAAAATCTTTTTTTAATGGCCTCCAGGCGAAATGGCTCACAAAGCTTGCCCCAGGAGGCTGTTTCTGGCTGGTTGTCAGCTGAAGAAAATCTTTTTTTGTTGGCCTGCAGGCGAAATGGCTCACAAAGCTTGCACCAGGAGGCCGTTTTGTGGCTGGTTGTCAGCTGAAGAAAATCTTTTTTTGTTGGCCTTCAAGCGAAATGGCTCGCAAAGCTTGCCCCAGGAGGCTGTTTCTGGCTGGTTGTCAGCTGAAGAACATCTTTTTTTGTTGGCCTCCAGGCGAAATGGCTCGCAAAGCTTGCCCCAGGAGGCTGTTTTGTGGCTGGTTGTCAGCTGAAGAAAATCTTTTTTTGTTGGCCTGCAGGCGAAATGGCTCACAAAGCTTGCACCAGGAGGCCGTTTTGTGGCTGGTTGTCAGCTGAAGAAAATCTTTTTTTTGTTGGCCTCCAAGCGAAATGGCTCGCAAAGCTTGCCCCAGGAGGCTGTTTGTGGCTTGTTGTCAGCTGAAGAACATCTTTTTTTGTTGGCCTCCAGGCGAAATGGCTCGCAAAGCTTGCCCCAGGAGGCTGTTTTGTGGCTGGTTGTCAGCTGAAGAACATCTTTTTTTGCTGGCCTGCAAGCGAAATGGCTCACAAAGCTTGCCCAGGAGGCTGTTTCTGGCTGGTTGTCAGCTGAAGAAAATCTTGTTTCGTTGGCCTCCAGGCGAAATGGCTCACAAGGCTTGCTTCAGGAGGCTGTTTGTGGCTGGTTGTCAGCTGAAGAAGACCTTTTTTTATTGGATGGCTCACAAAGCTTGCCATCTGATGTCCTCCAGTGCCTTGACAGGGCCATATATTACCTCAATTTATTTAAACCTTTTGTCGGGGGTCCATCCTCCAATTTACTTAAGTTCTCCTACTGGGTTGTGCCAACTTCCGGGCCTTCGTGGATGGGATTTCGGGCTTTCGTAGGAGAATTTTGTGCTTTCTGCTTCCATTCTACTGTCAAACCAACAACCTACGCTGTCGCATCTTGGCGCCTGCGCCTTCTAAAATTTAGGGGTTTCGGGTTTAGGCTAAGGGTTTAGGGTTTTCGGGTTTAGGATTTAAGGTTTTAGGGTTTAGGGTTAAAGGTTTTCGGGTGTTTTAGGGTTAAAGGTTTCGGGTGTGTTGCTTGGGTCATTTCAATTTACTTAAACCATTCAGTTGGACTTAGAAAAAACTTGTCCATTTACTTAAACTGCCCTGTGGTCGACCGTTGCTTTCCTTAAATCCTGCCTTCCTTTTGCTCTTAAAACCACAACCTGCGCTGGCGCATCTTCGGCCTCTGGCCGTCTAAAATTTAGGGTTTAGGGTGTAGCATTGGTCAGCTGAACGCAGCAGTATGCAGACATGCCCACCCCAAGACCACCCAAACACTACTCACTGCGAACCAAACCGAAGCCAGCCCAACCAAGCCATCCTCATTATTCGCGGCCAAGCCAAAGCCCGACATTCTACCAACAGCAAAATTTAGGTTTTGCGTTGGGGGGAGTTCTGGGCCGAAGGTTGATTTGCCGACCTTTGGTGAAGTGTTGGGGGCCCCCCCGCTCCAAGTCGTGAAAGGGTGGGGTGCCCGCAACCCTTTTCCTGCCAAGCCAAAGCCAAACATTGTACCAAGAGCAAAATTTAGGTTTTGCGTTGGGGGGAGTTCTGGGCCAAAGGACCCTGTCATTGATTTGCCGATCTTTGGTGAAGTGTTGGGGGCCCCCCCCCGCTCCAAGTCGTGAAGGATTCGGGGGGCCCACCCTTGCCAAAGCCAAGCATTGTACTAAAAGCAAACTTTAAGTTTTGCGTTTACATAAGCGTCTGGCATATTTTTATATATGCAACCCCCATAACAAATATATATTTATATGTATATGTCAATTCACTTTATGCACACCTGGGGCTATATATGTCAGTTTACTTAATCACCGACTGGGCCTATATATGTCAATTACTGAAACCCCGCCTATGGCTATACATGTCATCTGACTTAAACCCCATCTGGGCCTGTGTATGTCAACTTATTACAACCCCACTTGGAAGGATGTATGTGAGCTTACTTTTTCTGCATCTGGGCCTATGTGTGTCAATGTAACTACATCCGCTTAAGACTATGCATATCAATTGACTTCAATGCCGTCTATATATGTGAACCCCGCTTGGGTCTATGTATGTCTGTTTACTCAAATCTCGTCTGGGTTTGCAGGCATGTCATTTGACTTCAGCTACGCCTGGGACTATGCATATAAATTCACTTAAACCCTGCCTGGACCTATGTATGTCTATTTAGTTGAAACCCCTCCTGTGACTATGTATGTTAATCTACTTAAACCCCACCTGGCATGTATGTGAATCAATTTTTGCACGTTCGTGCCTATGTATGATGTCAACTTGTTACACTCCGCCTAGGGCTTGTATGTCAATTTACTTAAATCCACGATTATACAGATATACAAACAGGTATGAATATAGACATAGATAGAGATACTAATATACAGATATAAATGCAGCTACATATACAAATC